AGGTGTTCTTTGCAGTAAGTCTCCTCGGACTCAGATACTACTCCCGAAGTGCGCATAGTTTTCAGTCCTTCACTATGCATCCGCCCGAATTGTTCACCTTTTCCGGTACATTTGGTGTTGGGTACAAGTTTTTCCATTGACTCCTCTCCTATTGACGACTGTTTCGCATTATGTTATTTATAAATACACATTGCAACGTTTACACAGATCAACTCACATAGAAAGCACATTCCCATTTAGGCATTCCAAGACATGAGACCCACATCGCTAAGCAAGATGCCTTCCTTTGCGATTAAGGGGAAGAATACCAACCAATTGGTTGCGACGACATGTTGCGGAGAAAAAAGACATTGCACCACAATATAACTCGACCCATGGCTTTCAATTTTTACTTTTGAAGCTACTTCTTAATGCAAAATTCAGCACTATATTTTTTCTGTCATTATATTTCATATAATTTGTGACTTAATTTCACCTCGTTTTCGCAACTTTGTCGGAAAAGAGGGACACCTTACAGAAAGTACTAAGCGTATATCATAGGAATTTTGATAATTTCCGGCTTATGACCCTTGACCTGAAATAAACAGTAATATTAACCATGAGTGCCTACAAATGCTCATTACAAGTCAATTAACCTTCCGATTGAATGTTTAGGCATATACAAATTGAGACAAATGTCAAGCCCTGAACTTACATCATAAATTCAACGAATTACACTGCAATATTGAATGTTACTACTTATCTTCGTTGCGAGTAGTTTGCAAGACTAGTAGCAATTTTTGAATGATAACTTAAATCATACAATAAGTAGGCTTTATGATGCCAGCTAACTTAAATTAGCTTTCAAAATGACATTTGTGGACAAATACGTACCTCACCTAAATCGACCTGGGTGGACTGAAATCTCTTATTCAAGACCTTGGGATTGTCTCAAAAGTGACTTCCCTTCTGTACCCAATTTCAGAGCAAACTTGATTGGAGCAGATTAGACCCATGAAGTTCTGATAATGGCATTAACCGAATTGGCATTGTCAGATGTGCGCAAACTATTGGTGGGCATCCTCGGCAACCACAACTTGGCAAACTGGAATATCGAATTCAGAAAGGTTTGTTTTGAGGCAAACCGGAACAAGTTGGGACTCTCTAAAGTTTAATTGAAGATATAAAGACCAAGATGGTGTGGTCTCTAGTATGGTTGCAGTCTGCTTTCGATTTATGGCAGGGGGCTAAACTCGTTGTTGCAACTTGTTCCTGTTGTCAAGGTGACTTGTAGGTGTCATAATTCCCAGCATCAGACAGTGGACTTGGTACATTCTCAAGCATTGCCAATTTTTAGTTTGTAACGCATTTAGATTTACTTTAACTAATTAAATAATAAATTAATTGAATAGCCAGATGCCTAAACTTAAGTGAAAATGAAGTTATCACCCAAGAAATGAGAAACGTGAAAATATATAAATTCAAAGAAGTGATGGAAAAATTGTACTGAATCTATCGCCAGCATCGACGACTCCCTGGCCTACCGTGGGCAATTCGGAGATGTCTTCGATGCAGAGATTCATTTTCGCCTTCAAAAACATCCTTTGTCTTTCCAACACCGCGTCAGACTCCTCTACAGGACACATTTTCCGGCCCCCTTTTGTATCTCTTCTATTCGCAGAACTCAGAGCCGGAGTATCCGTCTTTGAGGCTCTTGAGGCGGCTTCCACTTCGGCTGTTGAAACCGCCACAGCTTCAACATTCTCTCGCACCGAATCCGACTTGATCTCGAAATTTCTACAGCCAGCAGACGTCTGTGGCGTAAGACCAGATGGCTGTACAGGCAAGTCTTCTGTGGAAGCAAAGGTGGGAGTTGGAGAGGCGTCTTGTGACATGGCGAGATGACTGATTCTGGCACCGTAACGGAGATATGTAAAAAAACGGAGCTTACAGAACATTCGTTGATAGTTCAATGTTACTGAATTTTTCATTTTGGACAAAAAGGTGATGCAAAAATATGCGACTCAGAGTTGTGCTTGTCTGGTTTGCGTGAGCATATCTTGTCGCCCCAAACCATTAGTGCTGCATACCGATTCTAGTCAGCCTGTAGAGCATATGATGATGCAAGACTGATAATTAAATTTTTCAATAATTATATGAATTTCATTGAATGAGGAAAAATTGATATATCATTCCTTCATCACGTTATGAGACCTTGGCAGACTGAAGCTCTAATTCACAAGTTAATGATAACCTTGAAATCTACTTCTTTTCAATACATTTGTGGTGAATAATCGTCTGTCGAGAAAAGCATGATTTACGAAAATTAAGTTTCTTGGTTGTTTTTTGTCTGTATAGTTCCACCTTCGATATACAGATTTGACAAGATTATCAGTAATTCTTGAACGAAAACCGAGTCCACTCAGGAGGCCCAAGGTGATTTAAGGTCTGAAAATTAAGAAATCCTACTGTTAATGCCATTCTACAGAGGCATAGCTTGCTTCGGATGATGCATCTGCTCTGTGACCCACTGGCACCAATGACCTTGGAAGGATAACGTCTTCATGATACAAATTACTCGATCTCGAAGGCCGTTGTAGTTGATGCTGCGTGGAGGACGAGCTGGGATGAGATGGCCTTTTAGTAGTCAGGGCTACATGAAATTCAATGGCATCGTGATGTCTACTTAAGCAATTGTGGGCAGAATCAACTGTCATTCTTAAAAACACTTTAAACAACCTAAGCTGAATACATTCTTATTGTTGAGCTTACTTCCATTTCGAGTGAAAGTGTGCGGTGAAGAGATTCGAAGGTCGATTCCACCAGATCCTTCTTGGCCAGCTGTCGATTGGCTTTACGGAAAGATACATGATGACGCTGTTTCCGAGGTGAACTCAATTCGATTCCGGTGAAAAGAAGTTAAGCTGACGACAGTCACATGACCAACATCATCGTCGTCACAACCAAATTCAAGCTGACAAATCAAGAAAACTCATCGGCAAAACGCTAAAATGTGGTATATATACTCTATATCTGGCTACGGTCATACGTCAACCTCGAAGCCTGTGATTGTGTCTGTCGCTGTATGTGTATGTGCCTGTTTGTGTTCGTAATAGTAATTCAATCTCCTGTTTTTTGACGTAGACGCATTTGTGCTCAACCACGCTTTGTATAATGGCACGAAAAGTCTCTCCAACATAAAAGCGACCACATGAATACATTATTTTGTAGCAACCCGATCTGAAGAATGGGTCAACTTTCTCTCTAAAAGTGGGCATAACTGAAGAAAGTGTCATAATTTTGATGAAAACCGTTTTTATTCCACACTTCCTTGTTTGTTCACCTCTCTTTTTAGACAGAATGCACGAAGACAAGGACAAAACATGCTCGTTGATAGATTAAGAAGCCTTAAGATTGAGCTTTTGCTCAGATTTGCTTCGCTAATAGCTTTGTGAACTGGGATGTTAGTAGACATTGATACCACATCAAGATTAACCAAAAGATCTTCTTCTTTAATACTCTGTTGATTTATTCATCTAGCAAATTCATATGAATTCTTTACTGAATATTTCCAATATTCAGCCAATTTCCATAGTTGTCTACATAAGAAACGTGAGATCCTATGCATCCCAGTAACCTTGTTATTAACAATCAACCTTAAAGGAACTCCTTCCTTCTGTACTTTTGGAAGGCCGTAAGCCGAAGGTACCATTGCATCCCTATGAAGAATTTAATTCATTTTTAACTTTCTAATTTCTCATCTGCTTACACAAGCGTTAAGTAATTCCCTCAGTCTAACCTTAAGACTCTCTGTGGGATCCTTCGTTAAAAATTTTGTAATTGTATGAGTCATTTAAACGAACCATCATTTTTTTAACCTATCCACTGCAACAATTTTATCTGCCTTTAAAACAAACAGTCTTGACGCCAGATTTAGGGAATCGCTTAACGTTTGTGCAAGTAGAGGAGAAATTGAAAAGTGGAAAACGAATTCACTCCTTCAGAGCAATTCTAGAGCACCTTCGGCTGACGGCCTTTTAAAAATACACAATGGGGGAGTTGCTTTAACATTGATTTTTCATAATAACGAAACTGTGATGCGTATGATTACACATTTCTTATGTAGACAACTAAGGAAATCGGCTGATTATTGGAAATATTCAGTGAAAAATGCATATGAATTTGCCAGATTAACACATCAACAGATTATTAAAGAGGAGGATTATAAGGTTAGTTTTGATGTGGTATCAATGCATACTAACATCTCGGTTCATATAGTTATTGAAGCACTAACACTCTCCCAGAGAAACACAGAGAAATTATTGGAGAGGGAAATGTGAGCAAACGCATAAGCTTAAGGCTTCTTAATTTATCCACGAGCAGCGCATACTTCACCTTTAATGATAAAGTTTATGAACAAGTGCAAGGCATAGAAATGGGATCTTGCTTGGCTCCCATTTTGGCTTATAATTACATGTCAAGAATGGAGGAACACTTCATGGAAGAGGTAAGATTGACACCCAAACTGTTAGTTAGAATTGTGAATGACTACTTTGCCATATGGCAGCATGGCAAGGATAATGTAGATAATTTCTTGTTTTTAATTAACCAGATTGATTGCAATATAAAGTTGAAAATGGAGATGAAGGTCAACAACACTTTACCATTTTTAGATGTTTTAGTGATCATAGCAGGTGAGAAGTCAATCAAGGATGTCTATAGAAAGCCAATACATGCTGGCTTTATAGAAGTTATTTGACCTCGTTTTAGCAAATTGGTCATAATGGTAGGAAGACTTATAGAGGAGCAACTTGTCCTGAGTCCATTGTATGCATAATTATTTCCAAATTCGGATTGTGGACGTGGTACATTCGCAGACTGGCTTTACACTTAACTTCTCCAATCAGTAACAAAACAAAGGTCCGTCACATGACGAACATTATCAGAGCGAGGTGTTATCGTCACAACAAAATTCAAGCTAACGAGTCAAGAAAACTCACCGGCAAATATCTAAAAATGGTATATATACTCTACATATGGCCTCTTTGATCAAGTATAAAGTGATTTGGTAAGTTAAGGTCATATGTCAACTTTGATGCCTGTGAGTGTGTCTGTCTTTATATTTGACAAAACGAAGGTTAGAGTTTAAAAATCTATGCTTATTCGGAGCATAAGACTCGCAGATCGAGACCATTGTGACCATGAACGGGATCGGTTTAAAATAGTATTTCTTGAGAATAATTATCTCCTAGGCTCGATTGAAAATAACATTAGATTAATAAAGAATAGCTTTTAGAATGGTGAATACATAAGGAGAGATGAGGAGACCTTTAATCATGTTTTGTCTTTACCTTCGTGCATTCTCTCTAAAAGGAGATATGAAAATTAAGGAAGTGGGGAATAAAAACTGTTTCACTTTCTTCGGTTATGCTCACTTACAGAGAGAAAGTTGACCCATTATCCAGATCGGGTTGCTACAAAATAATGTGTTCATGTGGTCGCTTTTATGTTGGACAGACTTGTCGTGCCATTCGAGAAATGTTGGCTGAGCACAAAGCGCTTGCAAAGGCTGTTGGGTTCGAAAATTGGAGCTGATTAAGCACGGGCCAGAAACGGGACAGGAGATTGAATGATCTCAAACTTGTCGTTTTGCGGTTAAACGTAAAATTAGAAAAGCCATACAAATAAACTGAATAGAAAGAACATTGCATGTAAGTAATACTGTTAGAAGATGTATCCACATAATTTCGTTTAAGGTGATGAAGGACTGGTAGAGGTTGAATTTTTCCACAAATGATATGAGTTGAGCTGACGTTTCCATTGAATTTTCACATAGCTTTGCTTTCCCAAATAACTGATTTACTGGTAGTCACAAAAAAACAATACTTAATTCGAAAAATAAGTAATACTGTCAAGAAGATAATTAAAAATTACTTGTGCTTAAGTAATAGACTGAAGAGCCGCCTGCAAAAAGGAGGCCACGAAACTAGTATTTTCTTGTTGAGCTTACTTCCGTTTCGAATGAAAGTGTTTCGTGAAGAGATTCGAAGTTCGATTCCACCGGCTGATTCCTCTTGACCAGTTGCCAATTTGGCTTTACTGGAACATTCATGCTGACACCGTTTCCGAGGCAATCTTACTTCGATTCCGGTAAAAAGATGCTAAACTTACGTCTGTCACATGACGAACATCATCAGAACAAGGTATCCTCATCACAACAAAATTCAAGCTAACGAGTCAAGACGTTACTTTTCCTGTCCTAATTACTTTGAGCATAAGCGAACACAAACCGGCACCTACACATACAGAGACAAACACACTCACAGGCATCAAAGTTGACATATGACCTTAACTAACCCAATCACTTTATACTTGATCAAAGAGGCCAGATGTAGAGGATATATACCAGATATTAGCTTGAATTTGGTTGTGACGATGATACCTTGCTCTGATGATGTTTGTCGAATGACGAACGAAAGCTTTTCACCTGTTCACCGGAATCGAAGGAGATTACTTCGGAAACAATAATTATGAAACAAGAGATTCCTCGAAACCCAACATTTCTTCGCATAATCTTTTTTTCTCTTGCTTCTAATTATAGTCACATCTCTGTATTGTGAGCTCCCTCTTAATCTCTCTCATCGAGACTCAAAAAAAAAAATAGGTTATAACATGTATGTACAAAGGGGGAAATAAGGGTCATCAAACCACGATAGCCGAAAACGGACGTTACTTTTGCTCAGCTTACTTCCATTTCCAGTGAAAGTCTTGGGTGAAGAGATTCGAAAAAAAGTGGTATATATACTCTAAATCTGGCCTTTTTGATTAAGTATAAAGTGATTGGATTAGTTACGGTTATATGTCAACTTCGAAGCCTGTGGGTGTGTCTGTATGT